AATTGAGTTATTTAATGAGTAGATTTATTGAGAGAATAGTACTCTGCCACAGCGCTTCAGCCTATTGAATAGCTTCAGGGGAAAATGTTGCAAGGGAGTTTTAATTAATTTCCTTCATCTACTCCTCTCTTAACTCTGAAAAATTCTTTGTCACATGCATCATGTGACTCTCAAGGACAGAGTGAGGGCCTTTGGAAAGGAGTACTATCCACGAAAGGTTGTTACGAGGCCATTTCGAACTTCTTCATTAAAGCAAATGCACTTAACACTCCTGCCATTCAAAATCCATATTGCGGTGCAGCGGCAACCGCATAAAGATTTTACTTCTTCATTCTGTCCTTATATGCTATCGCTATATTTTTAGGAACTTTAATGTGGCAACATTCCAGAATGTTCAGTTCTAGCTTGTGAAAGATCGCAACTCCTCTAACAGCTTGATATAGCAATATTTCAAGCCATTGGGTATATCAGCTTCTATATCTAAAATTGAGTGCCAGTCTTGAAGTTTTTGTAATTTATCTATGTTTTTTTTATAGCTCTGGGTCACAGAGAGGAGTAGAAGATTAATGAGGTGACATATTAAAAAGTTTTATGAATAATAAATATTATCCTTATTTTTGTGTAGGATAAATGAAGTCATGTGTAGGTTAAGTAACCATTAGAACTGATTTTTTAAAAGGACCCACTTATGATTCATTTAGCTACATTTCTAGCACTTACTTCCTTCTGCTATTCTTAACTTGTCACTTTGAGTGCAAAAGGTTTGGTGAGAGCAGGAATCGTGTAGAAAAATATGTAAATTCTTGTTCACTTGAGATAGCTTTTTAAATACATGCCAGCACATCAAGTTAATGTCCAAAGATCAATATTTTGCCTACTCTTTGCTAACCTTCTCTCTGGGCACCTGCCATCCAGCTTCCAAATAAATTCAAAGAGGCTTATTTTTTCTTAGGAATGTCTGGCCTTAGCTTGACTTGTTTCCAGCCTTTTGTTTTTTGTTTCTTTGTTTGTTTTGGTTTTTGTTTTATTTTTGTTTTATAAGACAGGTTTCTCTTTAGCTTTGTCATCTGTCCTGGAACTAGCTCTCATAAACCAGGCTGGCCTTGAACTCATAGAGAAATACCTGTCTCTGCCTCCTGAGTGCTGGGATTAAAGACATCCTCCAGCACTGCCTGGCTTATCCAGCTTTTCTTAAATTATATCATCTACCTTTTGCCTCTGGACTCTTATCTTTATCTATTCTACATACCTTTCTTTACATCTTATTCTGTGGCTTGCTCTGAAGCTGGGTAGCTGGCCTCTGGTGACCTCCCTCATTCTCTTTTTACTCCCTTATCTTCTTCTCCCAGATTTCTCCTCCTGTTTATTCTCTCTGCCTGCCAGCCCTGACTGTCCCTTCTCTTGCCTAGCTATTGGCCATTAAGCTCTTTATTAGACGAATCAGGTGTTTGTTATAGACAATCAAAATTATATCACTTCACAGAGCTATACAACTGCAACATAAAAGAATGCAGCACATCTTTGCATCATTAAACAACTATTCCATAACATAAACAAATGTAACACATCTTAAAATAATATTCCACAACAATCCTTTTTACTAAGCTTTTCTTTAATGTCCTCAAAGGGAAAAATAGATAGGTTTATAGTTAGATAGATTCCCTTAAGTAAATGTATTTTCCCAAACATCTAACTCTTTTATACTTACAATGAGAGTAGAAAGCCCTTTATAGTGCTCTCTATGATTTACTTTACAACAATTGCCATATAGTTCTAGATACAGACTCGGGATACAGTAACAGATCACTGTAGAATAGTTGGCAGAGGGCACATTCTCTCTCCAAAATCGTATAAATATTCTTATAAAATATAATCCCAAACAGCTTCACAGTATGAAATTTCAAGTAGATTGTGTACTCCGTTTGATTATTTCTCCATGATTATATTCTATACAAAAGTGTCTTCTGACCATGAATATTTGACCATGTTCCAGCCTCATCAAATTAAACAAACCTGAGCTCCGAAGCAGACCTCAAATCATTTAGTCTCTAATTTCTCTGCTTGAATCATCAAGAGTTTGAGAGGTTTCCAGCTCTCTGTCTCTGCCACGCTTTAGTTTCCGCCTTGTCAGTTTGCCTCCAATCATACAACTGTGAATTTCCTCCTAGGTTGTTTGGCCATCATATTTTTTCTTCTCCTTACGCAGTACCCACCGGATCTTCAAACAGGGTTTCATTCTGAATGATCTGTAGACAAATTTACCTCAGTGTAAGACTCATTTTTTTTGATACAGTTCCAAATCAAGAAGGTAACTGAAATAAAGGGACAGGAAAATAAAACAGGGAAACTTCTGGTAAAACCAACACTCCTCTGATGACTTGAGATTGAAAGCTTATCCTAGATGACAAACCATAACTTACATACCTGGATAAAGTCCAAAGAATAAATTTAAAACGGCAGCAAAGTAACAGTTATGAAGAAGCACCAAAATAATTCTGTTGCTGAGTCACCACAATATAAGGAAAGGTATTAATGTGTCCCAACACTAGGAGGTAAAGAGGCACTGTTCTAAAGTTTGAAAGGGGAGATTTTTGAAAAATGCCATAAAGATGTAGTAGAGAAACATGGTCATATACTAAATAAAGCATATGCTAAATTAGAATGTATGGGATTGAATCCTAATGCACTACACACCTATTTTAGAAATTTAAGTTTATATTCATCAACCATAAATAAAAAAATCAAATTATTTCACTTTCTGTTAAAGTGGAAGTTGCAATGCATTGATACATCATAGGTAAAATGAAAAAAAAATTCTTAAAATTTAGTCTTTCTTTCCTGTTTTATTTCTTAGAAAAATCTATTGTTACAAAAGAATAGGGGTCTTTTCTGAGTGGAAAAGCACCAATGGAAGTGAATGAATTACAAATTTATGCTATGCAATGATACAGGAAGGGCTAAAAGCAATGGGAAGATAAGCGCTTTGCAAATTCAAAATGCAGACCATTCATTTTCTTGACCTGAAATGTGAGGAAACCATGTCTTATGTGATGGTACAACTTATATTACATAACTATAAGGGAGCAAAATATTTTTCATAAAGATACTTGTACACAGGCTGTGGTAGCACATGCCTTTAATCCCAGCACCCAGAAGGCAGAGGGAAGGCGGATCTCTGTGAGCACAAGGCCAGCCTGGTCTACAGGAGCTAGATCCAGGACAGGCTCCAAAGACACAGAGAAACCCTGTCCTGAAAAACAAAACAAATAGAAAAAAAATACTTGTTAACTTGGTCGCTTCATAATTCATATTTGCAGTTGAATCCAGTTTTATAATCTGCATTTATCCCAGTACAGAGTTTTGCAAGCTTGACTGTTAGTAAGAATCACAAAACATTTAATTCCAATGAAGCTCTATGTTCTATGATTTTACTTACTTCCCAAACAATGATCAATAAAAGTAAAAAAAAAAGTAAAACCCCTTTTCTTATCAAATTATTGACATCTGTTGACTGTTCTATATTTATATATTCTTTGCATCATTGTTTGCCATTCTTGACTGATTTGATTCTGTTTTCAAAGTATCTTTTAGATCCTCGTATTAAAGCATCTTCAGTGTATGTGTGGCATTTGAACTGTGAAATGGATAATAGAGTTGAAAGGAAAAATGTAGTTCTACAAGTTGCTATATAGTTCTATGAGGACTATGTTTTCAAATATTTGTAATTGCTTTAAATTTTTTTTGGAATATTGTTTCTTTCTCTACCTGACAATATACTTATAATTTTCTTTTCCTATGGGAAGTAAAATAAAAATGAGTTTTGATGTCCTTTTCATAGAAACCAGTTATATATCTCTTCTTAGCCTTTTTCACTATCATTTTTCACGATGCGTTTTTTCAGTGATGGTCAATTTTGATTATCTATTTCATGGGATTAATAACTGCAAAGGGGATTAGTAAAGTTACTTTAGTTAATATTGTGCAGAAATGCCCTTTGACACATTCAGAGGTGCTGTACGTTGCCTTGGCATGGCCCAATCTAATGAATTTGACAATTTATTAGACCATAAAACTCGTCAAGGAGCTACCATAAAATATAGATAGTAGGTTTATGGTTGAGCATATGATGCACAACTGATACTCTGGAGTTTCATACATAGCATTTCTTTCAATGTACCATAAAAACTTTGCAAGCATTTATAGTGATATATTTGTATTTTAATAAATAAATCTTGCCCAAACACAAGAGATAAAGTTAAAGCCACTTGTGGCCAGGTAAAACAAATTTATTATCAAATTATTACAACAACTGAATCAAACCCAACCAAAGCAGAATCCCAATTCTCTATAGACACAGTTCTTCCAAGAAGTGCTTTCCAAAGACAAAGTTCTTCCCTGTGAGCAGATGAAAAAAATTAATATTTCTCCTCACACATCATGAGAATGTTACAAATAACCTGTCACTTATGACCTTTAAAATAATATCAGATTTCTAATCACATTATGATGCAAATAAAGTAGAATGTGACTGTCTATAAACTATGATTCAATATTCAAGTCATCTACAGAAATGGAGAAAGAGCTAGGAACCAATTCCTTCTATATTTTCCAGAGCAATCAAAATTAGGGATTGAGGAATTCTATCGAGGTGATTACCTTCACTTGCAGTCAAAGATTTACATTTATGAATATCTTGTTGCACTATTATTAGTAGATTTCTCATACCATATGCAGAAATGTTGAAGTAAATTTATTCTAATATTGTGAATTTTGAGACTAGATTAGTATGATAATTAAATATATAAAATTGAAAATGTGTACCTCTTTAATATGAAAGTATCTTTAAAATTGAGGTTTATATAGCGATAGAAATGGAAAGGGACAATAAATTACTCTTTATGACAAATTAATGAAGGTAGACATAGTATAGTTTTTTAATTAAAGCTCTTGCAAAGAATCACAAATATTCCTTCTTCAAGAGAATGCATACAACATACATGATGGACAAGCACAATTTGTTACCATGTTTGATGATGAAGTCCCAGTCCAGTTTCCAGAACTTCAACAAAGAGAGTGACTCTTGCCGCTTTGCAGATGCCGCTGTCCCCTCACCACTTGCTGCAGCCATGGTCAACCCAACCATCTTCAACACCGCGGCCGATGGCGAGCCCTTGGGCCGCGTCTCCTTCGAGCTGTTTGCAGACAAAGTTCCAAAGACAGCAGAAAACTTTCGTGCTCTGAGCACTGGAGAGAAAGGATTTGGATGTAAGGGTTCTCCCTTTCACGGGATTATTCCAGGATTCATGTGCCAGGGTAGTGACGTCACACGCCATAATGGCACTGGCGTCAGATCCATCTACGGAGAAAAAATTGAGGATGAGAACTTCATCCTGAAGCAAACAGGTCCTGGCATCTTGTCCATGGCAAATTCTGGACCAAACACAAACGGTTCCCAGTTTTTTATCTGCACCACCAAGACTGAGTGGCTGGATGGCAAACATGTGGTCTTTGGGAAGGTGAAAGAAGGCATGAACATTGTGGAAGCCATGGAGCGTTTTGGGTCCAGGAATGGCAAGACCAGCAAGACGATCACCAGTTCCGACTGTGGACAACTCTAATTCTTTTGACTTGCGGGCTTCTTAGCCACCAGACCGTTCCTTCTGTAGCTCAGGAGAGCACCCCAGCCCCATCTGCTCGCAGTACCCTGTAATCTCTGCTCTCACTGAAGTTCTTTGGGTTCCATATTTTCCTCATTTCCCTTCAAGTCTAGCTGGATTTCAGAGTTAAGATTATGATTATGAATAAAATATAAGTAAGAAAAAAAAGAGAGTGACTCTAAGGCTCAGTACTTGAGCTATCAACTCATCACTGTGTGCCATTAAGTACAGGGCTCTGAGCTTTGGACTGTATTGCAAGTTACATCAAGGCAGTGGAATGGAATGACTTGACTGTACAGAAAGTGTCCCTTGTTCCTAGTCAGTCGGAAATCTACTTCAGAATGAAACTCTTCCTTCAAACCACAGATATTTTCCTCTACCAAGTGGTCTTTTTTACATAAAGTAATAATGTGCTTGAATATCTAATTTAGGTTTCACTACATTTACTTTTAAATTATGAAAGTAGAAACTAAACATTCAATTGTAGAGTATCACTGCAGCCATGCTGAAAACATTTCTTTATAAAATCTCTGTTTAAAATCAAAACTAGACAATGAAGATTGTAGATAACACGTCATATTGGAAGCATTTATAAATTTAGAGTGCCATTGACTGATGTTTTCTATGTGTTCATAACTGATCAAAAATGGTGAGCAATATCAAATTAGCAAAGTAAGTTTGCTTATTCATATATAATGTTTTATGTAATTCTAGTAGCATAATTCTAGTCATGGAAAATAAATATCAATGCTTTCTCTTAGACAAGATATGTTTATAATTAGTATGGATGGAACATGGAACTTTAAATGTTAAAGGGAACCCCTCTGACTAAACCATAAACTCAACTGTAGATTGGGACATTTATAAAACTCATAGGCAGAGAAGTCATGCACATGAAAGTGTGTGGTATGATTCCCATCAGCTGTACAAAATAGTCAATATCAACCTTTATCATGCAACACTGAGAAAACATTGTTGTTTCTGTTTTCAGTTTCTTTAGAGAAAGCTACATGGTCTTTGCTAATTAAACCTATACTTTGACAATTTCAAAGTTGTATATACTATATTCTGGTTACTCTTATCTCTTTTATATGAGCCCCATACCTATCGAATGTGCTTGTGCCTTATAAAAGTTTTGACATATTCATCTTTCTTGTTCTATATTATGACTTTGTGAGTTTAAACTTTTCTAATTTGCATGACTCTTCTTTTAATGGTATGATATCTCCTATTGTTCATTGAATATTTCATATTTGTATTTCTTTGATTGTTTTAAAAGTAGATATTTCTGTTAAATTTTCTGTTTCTAAATACAGTACCAATTTTTCATCCTTTCCACAGATTAAACTACAAGAGACCTTGGAGTCATCATTTGTTTCAAATTCTATACTTATAACACAGCAACTTATTGCATGTTCATACTAAGTACAAAAGGCTGTTTTTTTATTTTATTTTCAGCTTCATTGGAAAATATATTTAGTATACCTAAAATATGTAATTATGTTATTAAATGAAATATTGGAAGGGTTATCATTTAAATAGTTTTGCAGAGTAAGATCATACTCAATGCTAAAGAAAAGTATCGTTTTATTTAAATTTATTAATAGCTGACTAGAAATATTTCAATTATGCAAAATAAATTAAAATGTGTCTTAAATAGAAAAACAAATTTGAAGATACACACTATGCTCTTTCAAGTGTGAATAAATCATCATGATTCTAGTACTATATTATTGGCATTCATATATAAATAACACATGAAATAAAACATATATATTCATAATTATTTATGGATATTCAACAAAACCACTATAATGATCTAGAAAAGGCTCCACAGTTAAAGGCAATTGTTGTTGATCCTGAAAACCCGAATTCCACAAATTGGGACACACGTTTGAAGGACAGAATCCTACTTGTCTCTTGACCTTCACATGTTCACCCTCATATGATTAAATATGTGCACATATACCATACCACACCAAATAAGCAAAAAAAGTAGTAATCAAATACTTTTCCAAAACAGTTATGTCACAATAGTAGAGGATGGGGAAAGTTAACCCTTACCTTGACAAAGGTAACATTATCTCTTAAAAGGGTCTTAGACCTAAAGCGTAAAAATGAGGAATGAAAAGGTAGCTTCCCAAATGTAAGAAGCAACAGACAACATTTTGTTTATTTACTTCTTAAACTTGAAAAGCAATAGTCAACATTTTATTTGTTTGTGCAATTCTGAACTTTTCATTCCTGTTTGAACGTAAGAAAAAATGTTTCAATTTAAACAAATCTACTTTAAAATGGATTCGAATTACTCGCTTGAATGTATTAAATGAAAAGAACCAAAGGCCATATACATTGCTTAGTAATAATAACATTTTTGAGAGAAAAAATACTTTATATTTTTGCTTTAGGGTTCTGAAAGTTAATTAAAAACAAAATAGCATATGAAGAATGTAAGTAGTGAAAATATTATACCATGACTTTTGTTTAATTAACTTTTGCCCCAATTCTGCAAGATAACTAGGCAACAGGATTCTTTTGCCCTAAGGTGTAATGTTTTCTTCAGAACCATATTGAAAATAATGCATAATTCAGCAAAAAAGTTTAACCAAAGTCATGCTGTAATACTTCATTTCCAATCTTATAGAAATGATAAGTTATTTGCGTTTACAGTTGCAAAATCTTCTGAGTTATAGAGACATTCTAACCCATGATTCAGGGTTTCTCTATTGACTAAAATTAAATTTAAAAAACTCACATTTTCTTCATAGAAAATAATAGACTACTGGAAATCTTCACAATATATTATGAGCAACTATTTAACAAATCATTCTTTAGAGTGTTGCAGAAGTATCCTCTTAATTTATTAAGTAATATAATTAAAAAAAGTTTATTGTGGTGTAATGATTATGATGAAAATGCATGAAAGAGTAAGAATGAGTCTATGTTTTGATATTTTTTAAAAGAGGAACAAATAATTTTAATACTCATATTGATTTAGGTGTTCCAAAGGTAGTGACAATAAAACCACATTTGAGAAATCATTTCGTATTCAGAAAATTCATTTAAGGTTTCAGTAATTTTATACAAGGACTTATCTATGTCTATTTGTCTGTCTGTCTACCTATCTATCATCTATCTATCTATCTATCTATCTATCTATCTATCTATCTATCTATCTATCATCTATCTATCTATCATCTATCTATCTCTCTCTCTATCATCTATCTGTCTATCTGTCTGTCTGTCTATCTATCTATCTATCATCTATCTATCTATCTATCATCTATCTCTCTATCTATCTATCTATCTATCATCTATCTATCTATCTATCATCTATCTATCTATCTATCTATCTATCTATCTCTCTATCATCTATCTATCATCTATCATCTATCTCTCTCTATCATCTATCTATCTATCTATCTATCTATCTTTCTATCATTTCTATGACATATATATCCCTTAATGTTTGAAAATACAGAGACTTGTATGATTACACCTGCACTGTAAATATCAAATGTTCTCCTAATAGTTTTATAAAATCATACATTTTCATAAAATAACTTGATTATTTAAGGAAAATTTACAGTGGCAGTTTAGAGTTTGAATTTTTCTTGTTTGTTTTTATGAAATTATGCCTGTTAGTGATTTTATACAATGAAAAATAATTCAGTATAAAATCTTCTATTATTAATATCAGGAATAAGTAGAAAGGTTTCACATGTTTTTATTAAATATTTTTACATATTTCTATTATTTATATTTTATTATTGGAGACTATTTTACAATGAATCTTCCCTCTCAGCAAAATTAAAAAATATTTATCCTTGATAATATGTACAATCTTGTATGATAAATCTCTTGAACTTTACTATGTTTAATTAAAAGAGGATATATGTCACTCGACATACCCAGTTTAATCCCTAACTACACTATTATTATTTGTTCTTTTAGCTACAGATAAGTATAGTCCTCACACCTCATTAGGAAAGCTCTACATAGCAGACAGAGATCATTACAGACAACTATATGTAATCAAAATGTAGAGGGCTTAAGACCGATCATCCACCCAGAAAACAATTCCTCTACCTATGGCTCAAGAAATGCTGAGAAGGGGGGCTTGAATATTGTAAGACCCAGTAGATCAGAGAGTTTTCTCTGATTAATGCAAGAAACTGCACTTATAAAGTCTCACAAAATTTAGTCCCTAAGCTTGAGCTAAGCAAAGACATCAATATGCAAAAGTGTGTTGGGGAGAAAGCCCACAAAGTCTCATTCACATAGGAAACAGGTAGCTAGGAATTAGTGAGAGTGGGAGAAATTGTCTTCCCCAAAGAAGAGCACACTGGTTGGGTATCCAATATGAAGTGAACAGCACTGACAACATAATGCATGCAATGCTACATAAACTGAGACAGTTATATGTAGGAATATATGTGTTAGGAATATATGTGAATATAACAGTGTAAAAAGAAGCCATGATTTTAAAATTAAAATGTAAAATAAAGCAAGGGGGCAATATGGAAGGGTTATTATGGAGTAGAATAAAAGGGGGAAATGTAGTTACATATAATATCAAAATAAACTGAAAATGAAACTCTCTATCAACTCTTTAGTTATTCAAGATTGTCCATCCATTGTCCTCATTAACGCTACCGTCCCTAACTTTAACTCATGAGTACTCATATATTCCATGTGCATAGGAGAACATTCATTCTTGTCTTTCAGGAAATGGCTTTTATCCACTTCATCAAGGTTAATCCATTCAATCATATAATCCAGATTCTTCAAGGCTGAATGGTTTCTACTTCCATATAAATACTTCATTTTCTTTTTTCTTAGTTTATAGATATGTATTTAAGTTCCTGGTTAATTTGTGTACTGTGAATATTACTGCAACTACAGTCGAATTTAGACTCAATTAATTGACTTAATAGCAAGAAGTGTCATTAATGGATTAT